TTTTAAGAAAAACTCATCGAGTTGGGTCATAAAACTCGATGAGTTGGAATTGATTTTTGGAATCTCTATATAGATCGTTTCTCATTCGAACCCTAACGGATGCTGGAGGATTTTGGCGACTTTTGGAGACCAGAGACATTACCAAGAGGCTTTGGGAACCAGAAATAATTAGAAGGAAATTTTAAAAATATCAAAGGCAAACAACATTACTTTTCTCTTAATATTTTATGTGAATCATATTTGAACCCTCAGATTTCGATTTTAGCGATTTATTTGTTGTAGTTATGAGCTAAATACTCCATACTTCTGTTTAGACTAGATGATCTTATGAATATGGTTTGATTGAGTGGCTTGGATTATATAGATTTGGTTATTTGTCTTGTTAGGCTTGTTAAAAGATCATTGCATGCTAATGATAATTATTTTATGTTAATAACTACGTAATTTAGTTGCATGAACATCTTCTTGATTGCTTGAATCTTATAGTTTTGTGAAAATAAGATTGTATGCGTAACACCCATAAAATTCCAGCCAATTTAAAACTCTTTAAATCATTTGAAACCATTCAATTATTACAATTTGTTTTCAAACTAGTTTATACATCAAAGTTTCCAGAAATCATAATCGTCAATCGAGGAAGTGTACGGTCACGCCTTCGCACCCGCGACCATCTGCTGAACCTGAAACAATAAACTGAAACTGTAAGCCCGAAAGCTTAGTGAGTCACCCCCAAAATACCAACCTCATATAACCATAATCATAATCACACCATATCAACAAATACATAGCAACATGCATAATGAGCCTTCAGCTTGACTGGACAGCTCCCGAGCCTTTGTCATGACTGGACCGCCTCGCAGGGCCTACAACCTATCCGGAACGCTCACCGGGTATGTTGGCCTATATCATAAAGCAAGACCTCCTCAACCCAACCCCCAACCAAAAAAACATGTGCACATAAGTATCATACTCTAGCTCATATCATTTAACAGTCAAACCGATCTAACATATCACTAATCATAGCAACATCCCAATAACCGGGGTAAAAACCTAACCGGTCACTAACATAGCATCATCCTATAACCAGGACAATCATGTACACATAGATATCATATAACACTAGAATGTATATATATAACAGTCAAAACGATCTAACAGATCACAAAGCATAACAACAATCCTAACTAGGATACCGACCTAACCAGTCACTAACATAGCAACATCCTACATACCAGGATACCGACCTAAACCAGGTCACTAACATAATACAATCATAATTTACCAGGATGCCGATCTAACAGATCAATAAGCATATCAAACAAATACAAGTATACAATCCGAGAAAAGGGCCGGCCTTGGTGACTTAGACCCTGTTGATATAGTGAGGATAACTCACCTTGCAATGCCAGACTGAACCACAAAATCATGCTCCCGAAACACTAACTCCAACACCTATAACCATCAACGATCCAATTCATAAATACCCTCTTACCAATTATCCTCAAAAGTCAAAACGATCAACCCTTGGTCAAAGTCAAAGTCAACTATCAATGTCAACAGTCCATGTTGACCTCAACTTGCCGAGTACCCTCAGCTACTCGCCGAGTTCCTTGCATAACTTGCCAACTCGCCAGTCACCATGCCAATCGTCGAGCCCAAGGTAATCGTCATCAGACTCGCCGAGTTGTTCATCCAACTCGTTGAGTTCATGACCATCTTCATGTGACTCGCCGAGTCCCTTCAGTCCTTCATCCATATATATGCTTTTTAAGCCATGCCAAGGATTCATACTATAGATCCAACTTTCCAAGGCATGCTTATCACATAAATTTGCAAACTTTACGTGCATGCAAGGCTCTAATGACTCAAAATGCCAAAACCAAGCTTGAAATGGGGTTTTACACTTAAGAAGGGGTTCATACTTGCCCAAGCTGATAACTTTATGGATTTAGAGACCAAGGAGAGTTCAAATCTGAAGTTACAACCTCAGATCTGAGCTCATACCTACAATAGCTTCACAATATGCTAGAAAAGCCCAAAACTTTAACCAATGATATCTAGAATGAAATGAGGTCAAGGTAACGACTTGATACCTTCCAAGAGATTCTATCTAAGGTAGATATCAGATCCCCACAAGTCCTTTGCTCATGGACACTTGCTCTTCAAGTTCTTCTTACAAGGATACACCTTCCAAAGCTTTACAACACACAAATGGAGCACACTCACACGAATTAGGGTTTCTGGACTCCCAAGAGACTGCAAAGGGACTAAGGGAGGCTAATGATCCCTTAAATAGGGTGCCAAACCTGGAAATTAGGGTTTCACCCGCCAGCTCCAACTCGTCGAGTCACTCTTCCTACTCGGTGAGTTGGTCACTTAAACACGTGGCCCAAACCCACTGCTACTCAACGAGTTAGGCAACCAACTCGTCGGTAGATCTTGAACTCACAAGAATTTATGACCATAATTTGGTATTCGAGAATCGGGGTGTTACAATATGCCTAGTATTATTGAACATGAACCCAGGGTTAACTAGAAAATAAGTAAGTTAATGTGTTAGCATATGTGATGAACAACCTCATATGAGTTAATTAAACCAACCAACTTGGTTAACTAATGTTATAAGTCTTACTTGATTCGAACCGAACACTAGGAAACTTGTTAGTTTAATCACTTGATCACTGCTTGAATTAACTTGTTTGCTAAAGGATTAGTAATAGTGAACATTAACCTAATCATATTAGAAATCGGTAACCATTGACATATTAATCCATTGCACTTGCCACAAAATCAACCATATGAATAAGTGAATCGAATCTAAAAGGAAGTCTCTTTAATTTGATTGAATATAGTTGTCTTTGTTCCTCTTTTAGTTGTTAATTGCCTTTTTGCTAAAATGTTTAGGAAGTTACTTAAATTTCTAGTCTTGTAAAACTAGAGAAAAACCCTCATTTTAATTAATTGTTTTATTTAGATAATATTAGTATTACTTTTAATTGTTTACCGTTCCTTGTGTTCGATACCATACTTGCTTAAACTAAACTGTTATCGATAGGTACACTGCCTATATGTGTTTGTTTTTATTTGAGTTTGTTAGGATTAAAACTGATATACTTTACACACATCACACATCACGACGAACATCATTAAGTTAGAATCCATAAAATTTTTATGGTATTCAAGTTTTATTTGCTTATATGCAAAAAAAAATGTTAAAAAGATGGCTGCTGATGTTGGAGGTGGTTGCAGCTGCGGTTTTTGACTTCAATCATGGTAATCTATAACTACTAAACATAGAATATTATAGAAATGATAAGGTTTTGATGTGGCTAACATTTTTCCAAATTTAAAGCTAAATAGTTTAGATTTTGGTAATTTGATCCTCAATTCTTTTGTTTACAATGTCCAATATCTAATTATTAAAGCCTTAAATTGTAGGTATTGTTGAGTTGGTAAAAATACGAAGCATTCTTGCACAATATGTTAAAAAAATGTGACGAATTGTCTCATAACATGGTAAAAAGTTGAAATGTTGCTCAAAAAAACATTTGAATATCCATTTGTTATAGCAATAACATTATACTTTTTTTGGTACAACAAGTATTGATAGATAATTAGACATAGAAATAACTTTGAAATTTGTTTATTTTATTGTATCTCGACTCTTGATTTAGTTCCTTTTTCATTCGGATGCAGGTTGGTTTTTTGGAAAGCTCCGCGGAACAATCTTCAAAAAGATTTGAACGCATTATGGAATCTTGACATGATTAGGAAAGTGACTGGGACCGTTAAAACCTGCTTTGGATTGTCTCAGTAGGTAATCCATTTCCATGCTAAAAATTAGACAAAAGAAGATAGTTCAAGAGTTAGTATTTTTCAACTTAGTCTTTTATTTATTTGATGTAGAGTGAAACTAAATGAGTATAGAATTTTCGAATTGAAACCTTTTTTTATTGTTTTAAGATGGCATCAAATCAAAGTTGTATGTTGATTAAGTAAAATAGGATGTAAATGTGAACTTATTTATTGAACTATAGTTTTGTTTGGATGACATTTCATGATTCTAACCTACAACGTGTTGTTGTTCGTGTACTCTACTTAATTTTGACACTGTCTTTATTTTTATAGACAAATTTCAAAATAAAAATAAAAATGAAACACCTCTAACCCATGTGTAACATGAGTTCGCATCCTAGTTGTTATATATGCATGGTAAAGAAGAGCGTTGACATATTATGGAGATTTTTACATA